AAATGTTAAAAATAGCATCAGAATAATCCTAGCTTAAATCTAGCTTCCAATATTTTTTTCAGTTATTTTTTTAAAAAAATAGGCTAGTGCTTTATAGATGAAAACACTATTTCATGTCACTTCTAAGATAAAACTAAGTTCTGTCATTTTATTTTTATTGCTGTACATTTAACTCAGTGAAATAATACTAACTCTGCAAGAATTTGAAAAAGAATTAGTGACTAAACTCAGAGGTGCTCATTTATATTACTGGACATATGTGCCATGATAGTGTATGGCATTTTTTAACTACTTAAAAACAGTATTTTCTTATTTTACTTTAAAGAATATAATGTGACTTGACATTTTTCTGCATTTTATGTAATCCTTTACAGAGAACTTTCAAAATCCAAGGGAAATATCCTCAGGGTTTACACAAAAGTGGTAAAGGATTCCCTTCTCTCTCTGTCTCTCTCAATTAATTGCTATTCTCCTAAGTAGTATCGCAAGCCTTTAAAAACATGTCATTATTAGATGAGTCTTATTTAACCCTGCCTTTCCTGAGTATATCTTTTGGCTTTGGAATTATTCAAACTATTGGACAAGATGTTTTCAGTGATGGTCTAAATACTAAGGATATGGTGCATTCATTGTCTAACATTATTTCTCAAAGTATGGTTATAGAACACCTCCAGAGTTGCTCAGGATGCTTGTTAAAATATGTATTACTTAAAAAACACAAGTAACAACAACAACAAAGAACATAGTCCTTGGCTCTATCCAAATTTACTTAATCAGAGTCTCTATTGATTTGGTCTGTGAATATGCATTTTAAACAAGAAACTTCGATAATTCTGATACATGCTACAATTTGAGGTTCATTGGAAGGATATTTGTTTAAAAGATGTGGTAGAGTATGAAAGAACAGCATTCTGAGATGTCAAGCCAGAGAATTAATATGGAATAGCTTTCTGATTTTAAAATGAAGTAGAGTAAACTGACTTTTTAAGCTCCTTCTAGCCTTAAAATGCAGAGATTATGTTGTCCTTTATATGTTCTTTTATCGGTTCAGTTTTGTTGTAATGCAGCCTTCTGAGCATGCTCTACTTTTGTCTTTTAAACTGAGTCTAAGCGCTCCTATTAACTTTTAAAATGGATTAATTTTAAAGTTCTTTGCATTTGAAACTTTTAAATGCCAATCCAAGATAAGGTTTAAAATGTTGAGTTGTTCTTAGTTGAGTTGTTCTTTGGGTTTTCAAGTTCTCAGTGTTTCAAAGTCCATCTGATGTTGGAAAACTGGGATGTGGGAAGGAGGAGATACCATTAATCTACCAAATGGTACTTGGGGCTACAAATTTTCAAAACCTTAGAAGTTAGCATCAAGGCCTTTATTGTGGGTGGTATTAGTGAAGGAAATAATTTACTTTCAGCAATATAGGAGTAAGGGCAACATTAATATTGGTTCAAGTTCAAGTCGATATTCTTTTATTGGAGGACTTTTAGCAATGAAACACACAAATATTTTTCAAAGACAAATTTAAGAAAACAAAATGAACATATCTACTGTATCAAGAACTTCTTAAAATGAGATGTGACATTTCATAAAAAGACTTTTTACTAGTTTACCCAAAGAAAGTAATAAATGATTATCATATCAATCAGTTAAAATCAGAGTGCTTCACAGAAATACCTTTGTTATGGCAAATAGTAATTTGTTGTATCTTAATCTGTGAGTGATTTATCAACCTTAATTAAATCCTTGAAAATTAATCCACAGTATGTTTATTAAAGAACATAGTAAATGCAAAACAAATACTTCTTCTTGGAGATAAATATACAGAATGAAAATCATAGGAGCCCAGTGCTCTGATTAATTTATTCTTTAGTGTTTCATCTTTCTCTGAACTGAATTGTCCTCCACTTAGTGCATGTCTTGTTACAGTTCTGACCCAGAAGGCAAGAGGGAATTTGTGTGTTTCCTTTGGACATTTCACTGTGAGGTTGATAATTCTATTAGGTCTATTATTCCATTCTTTCAGTTAATTATTGAAGACCCCATTCATTTTTCCTCAGTGATCTAAATATATATTCATATAGTTATAAGAAACTGTATATCTAATATCAATGCAAGAAAGAGGCACACAATTTGTACTCATCTCCTTGACAAGAGAGTGAAAAGAGGTGATTGACAGAGCAACTGTCCATGTCACCAGACAGCGTGCTGTCACTGTGGCAAGACCACCCCCGGGAAGCAGTTCTGCCTGCTCTCAAAGAAGGTAACACAGCAGCTGATGTGAAAAGTAGAGTCTCACATTTCTTCAAATAACACAGTTTAAAAATGACAGTGGACAGTAAAAATCTGCATTGCACTTGGGGATAAATTCCCAAAAGGGGTGCTATTTTAATGCAGAGACAAATTTCACTATTACTGCAACTGGGGCAGACAGCTGTAGGCAAAGGCTCAGTCAGAGACAACTGTGCTTATGAATGGCCTACAGAGATGCACGTCAGATCATGGGGGAAGCTAGAGGGCAGCTGCACTGAGATTTCTTTATGGTTTAAGTTTTTTCTCTCTTTCCCCTTCTTTCCCTTATTCTCTGCTCCTCCTCCTCTAAGCTATCTAGGATGGAAGTGGCAACATATTGATTATTATTTTTCTGCCACTGGAGAAGTTTTACCACATTAAGAAAATTTATGAAGTATTGAAAGGTCTTTTTTCTTGTTTTAAAAGTTCTCCCCTTATTTTGTATGAAAGAAAGATTTTCTAGATTTCTCTTGAATGGGAAAGGGAATCTGGGACTAGAAACGTACACACACCGCCTTTTCTGTGAAGAGCACCCGTGTATACCTCACAGGATCTTATGATCTATTGTAAAAGCATGTTCTCATAACTTATATAGACATTATAATAATATAGCTTACCCAAGGCAATAGAATTCTGATTAAACTCTAGGATTAAAAGATGAAGAGATATGGCACATTTGGAGAATGAGAAGGAAATATAGTCTTTTTGCTAAGGAGTTAAATATTCAATTCATTATAGTTTTGAATTTCCACAAACTTTGATCTCCTATGCCCAGAAAAGTCAGCAGGAAACTCCTCTGAGCTAGGCTGCCAGTGAATGATATACTTTTGACTTGTTATGCCCCTTATGGAAGGGGAAAAATGCTAAGCAAATATTTGCACTTTGCACAGAAAAGAAATAAAAAATGCATTACAAGGGAGTTACTTGACCTCATGTTGTTTGATTACAAGCGCTTTCTTTTTGACTGTCTCACTGTTTATGAATGCTTTTCCTTTGCAGCTAAAGAGAACTCTGCCATAAACAGTCTGTGCGTAGCTTCATGTTTTCCTCTGCTGCTCCCAGTCATCACGGCAAGCATCCCTCCCATTCTTCAAGGGACCCATGTTTTATATCTTGTAAAAGCCAAACTCAGTTGCACTTATCCCACCTTCTTCTTCAGAGAACACTTCTCAAATTGTCTCTATGTTTTCAGATACTTAAGGTACAAGGGATTGTGTATTTATACAATCTATATGAGAGTCCTTGGTGAGAATTTAATATTGTTTTCATTTCTATGGTAATTAAAGAATATTACTACAACCATAGGTAGAAAGATTATTACACCAGAGACCACTGTGAAACTTCAGATATTTATCATATGGACTATGGTTAGTTTTTGGTGTTAAAAATAAAATTATTATTTTTCCTCTCACCAGTGAGTGACAGGACAAGGCCTGACTAAATGCTTAAAGGATGTGTTTGGGACCTGGCATAGGTCAACAGTTGCTGTGTATTGCTAAAAGTTTTGCTATAATTAGAGAAAAGGAGAATTGAGTCTTCCCAAGGCACGTGGTAGTCAGGGTACATCAAATGCAAAGGAATCTGTAAGTTTCCATCAATGCTAAGTACACTGTGGAAGCAACAATTTAGTTTTGCCAAAATATGAGTACATTAAATTAGTATCACTGGTTTTAATTTTATTGGCTTATTTTTTAACATATATACATGTTAGGGTTCCATTTAGACTTTTACGTTTATGTGCATACACTTTTAGGTAATAATAAAAATAATTTTGCTTGGAGTTGTATGCGTTAATTGTCTTCTTTGAAGTGGTTGTCCTTGAGTGATGTGAAAGACAAACACAGCCAGATATTTAAAGCAGTGAAAACAGATTCTATTCCGTAAAAACTAATAATGGGGTTAGCAGCCGAGCTCCATACCAATTTGTGCGAGCTGACTGGCTGTGTTGGAAGGATGGGCCTGGGATGGTGGGGGCAGCAGAGTTAGGGAAGTGAGAAATTATAAAAATTGGGAAATAGAAGTTAGTCCACGTGAAACCCATTGGATTTGTGACTACTGCTTATCAAAATTAGACTTCTGTCAAAATTAGACAAAATTAGGCAAGGAGACAAGGGCCTTATCTTCTGCTGTTGGCTGGAGCATTAAATTGTTCTTCTTCCCCTCCTCCTCCTCCTCCTCCTGTGGTACTGTGGGTTCAGCCCAGGGCCTTCTTGCTGAGCTACCTCTCTAGTCCTTTATTTTTTTAAAATTTTGAGACAGGGTCTCACTGTGTTGCTAAATTTCCCAGCCTGGTTTGAACTTACAATCTTCCTGCCTCAGCCTCCTTGAATGTTGGAATTACAGACATTAGCCACCACGTCCAGCTATACAAATTTAAATTCTTCTGGCAGCTTTGCATTTTGTTGGGCAGGTGCTCTAAGGATAAGGGTTCCATCATTTTAGGAATGGGAACAGGAGCTGCTGGCAGCTATGTCAGTGTTAACTCAAGTCTTTAGAGGTCATAGTTGAGGCCTAGTTGAGAAGAGGGCTCAGAGAAGCCTAGCTAAAGTTTGGCTGAGGAGAGGCTTTTGCCTGTGACAATTACAGAGTAGTAATAATGCTCACTTTCACTTTCTTAGGATAAACAATGACTACTATGTATTAACTACTATTAAAAGAGCTTGATTTTAAAACCTTAATTGAATACAATATGAAAGATTATGTTATCTCATTTCAGGGCCGTGATCTGGACTATAAGATTCAGGAATATAAAGGAGCTGGGAAAATCTTTACAGAAAATCAAATAATAGAATGGTTTATCCAGCTGTTGCTAGGAGTTGACTACATGCATGAAAGGTATGTTCATTTGCTATTTGGGACAGGGCATGTTTTTAACAGTCATATCCGAATTTGAAAAATGATTTTTTTGGTCAATTTGAAATCAAACAAATTTGACAGGTAAATAGCTATAGTTATACATCTACTTTTTTTTTTTCTTGAGGATTTACTTGCATAATTTTTTTGTTGTTCTAGAAGTCAAATTGCCTCTGAATATAACAGAAATTTGTATTGAGTGTAATCCCTTGTATCTGATCATCTCATCTGAGGTACAATGATTTTCTAATCACTTTAGCAGATGATTAATTTATTGTATCTTATAGCAGCCTTAATTATACTGTAAATATCTGAGTATGCTACAGAGGAGCTGTGTGGTCACCTGGGAATGTGTCAGTGCACGGTGAGCTGGGTTCACATCCCAAGATGAGCCAAATAATTGAGGTGGAAGATATTCTTTGGCATCATACAGATAAATTTTCAGACAAAAAATTTTGATGTCAAAAGAAGGTCAACATATGTTTTATGAATTTCAGTTTTATATAATTTTTGTTTGTAACCTCTGCCTCAACAATGTATTTTAAAGCTTTTTATGATTTTTCTATGGGTCAAAAATAAGATGCTTTAGAAGATAAATGTTTTATTGACCTGTAAAATGATATGAATACGTTTGAAATGGTGAACATTCACAGACAAAGGAGGTAGCTCTTATCTTGAGAATGGGCATTACATGTGGTGATATTCTTCTGGAACAAAAGTGATAATTTATAGGATACAGCAATGTTTGTCTGTCTGTGGCTATCACATCACTTAAATGTGCCATCTGTGGTTTCTGATCATAAAAAGTAATCAGATTATCTGGAAATTCACCATGTGGGTTCTGAGACACTTGTTCGATGATACAGATAACTACTGGTTAATTGACAATTCATAATGATCTTTGGAATGAGGTCAACCTATCATAACAGATAGTGATGAAGGAATATCAAATAATCTTTTAATAAATTACCCAAAGTTACTGATTGTAAGGCTTTCCTATACATAAAGTTATGTTGGTATTTATTTCATTGTATTTACTACTTTCTGAAGTACTGTGAGCTTATTAGAGAAGGAAAACAACTCAAAAATGTATAAAGTTGTCAACTATGGTATTATGTACACAAAATATAAAACTGAAATCTAGTTTCTGAAATATTTTTGATGCTTTTGAGATTACTTAGTGATTGTTAAAATAAATAAATTTAAAATGAACCTCAAAAGGAGGATTTTGATTTTAAAAAATCCTTTAATATTCAAAGAAAATCATTAAATGGTGCTAAATATTTGGATCTTTGTAGATTTGTGGATCTGAAATACCATCCTTCATGATTCAGATAACAAATGATGGTACCTCTTATTCTTTGTTATTATAATCAATTATTGTAAAATTTTTATATAGAGATAAGAAATATCAATTTTATATTTATATTCATTTGTTTATTCACTAAATATTGGTAGATCAAAAAATAAGTACTAACCTCAGAGAATTATTAGTAAACTAGCAGAGATAACTCATACTTATATAGCTATAAACATAGTGAATGCATAAAATTCAGTATCTCCACTTCCTTGGATAAGCTGTTCAACTCTTCTGAGTCTTTGTTTTCTTAACCATAAAAATAGGGCTTTCCCTGTTTACTTCATAGACCTCTGTGGAATATGCATTGAGATGTCATAGATTTAGAAAGTCTATAGATGATTAAATTCTATGTAATGTCCATGATTATAATTCAACATAGAAATGAAAGAATAGCTATCAGACAGGTTAAAGAATCTCTGAAAATAAGAATGGAAAGCAATTGGAATTTTATTACATTGTTCATAGATGTATGCATATTTTTGTAATCTCTTTGGAAAAATATTTAATAGCACTCCCTAAGCTAAACATACAGATACACAGTGACCCAATAATTTTATTACTAAGAGTGGAAATGCATGCTGATGTCCAACAACAGTTGCACAGAAATGTCTGTATTAGCCTTACTTGGACTAGTCAATACACTATCTAGTCTTCAACTACTGCAGAAAAGTTAAATGTGAGCTAGTCACACAGTGGAGCACAGTGTTCGCCTGTAACGAGATGAGAACATACAACTGGTATGCACGATTTGGCTGAATCCCCTGGATATACAATGTTGGAAGAAGGAAGCCTCATCCAAAGGAGTGCATACTGTTGTATGACTGTGTGTTGGTTTGGGGGTATTTTTGCAAGGAGAAACAATATAATACAGGACACATATTTTATATGATTATTTATAATAGTCACCCAAAGAATCATATACAAGAGAATGCAGGAAATCTGTCCACACACTATAGACCAAGAATCCAGCTGAGGGCCTGGATCCTGCAATAATGTCCTGTATGAGTCCAGCTTAAGACCTAGAGCTCATAACAACATCTCATGCCGGCCTGTTTCATGGATCTGTGCTGTGAAGGCCCAAAGGTCAGTGGTGGAATCGAGGAAGTCTGTGCCAGCAGGATGAAGGATCTGTGCTAGCAGGCTAAGGGATCTACGCTGGAGCCAGGAAGCAATATGCAAAGTAAGAACCAGAGCTCCCCTGGAAAGTACCACAGCCATCCTCAGCAACAGTGAGGTCCCAAGCTCCTCCAGTGGTGAAGACAGCTGCGTTCCTATCAGGAAAGCCAATGCAGCAAGCTTCTTCAGGAGACTGAGCTGTGTACCTTATTTCCCTCCAGAGCCAGGAAGCGATGCTCAAAGTGAGGATCAGAGCTCCCCCAAAGTGAACCAAAGCCATTCTCAGTGCCAACGAGGTCCCGAGCTCCTCAGAGGATGAAAACAGCCAAGTTCATCAGGAAAGCCAGCATGACAAGCTCCTCCAAAACAACCAACAGCTCCTTACAGCTTCTACCAGCTCCAACAGCCTCTTTCTGCTCCCAATAGCCTCTTCAGTTCCCAAAAGCCTTTCTTCCTTCTTCTCCAGGTCTGCATCTTATGCTGCTGTCACCAGTCCTCAGGGGGGTGTCCTACACCCAGCACCGTGCTTACTCAGTTCACCTGGGGGTTATAAGTTGACCACAGTTATCAATCTACTATAGATTGTTTATGTGAAGCTGAAAACTAGTCTAGGGTGAGTTAAAATAGAGATTATTCCTGGAGAGGAGTTTTGACCAAAAGGGATATGAAAGAAACCTTCTCAAACACTGGTAATATTCTACATTTAGACCTGGGTGGAAGATTATAAGGGGGGTATATGTTTGCCAATTTATCATGTTTAAGATTTATCCACTTTCATGAAAGTTATACAGTAAAAATAAAGTGATAAGAGTCTCAAGAAAAGTATGGCTTAGGCTTTATAGGAGATCAGAGAAGAGATAACTCCACTTGAGATAATCAAGGAAGGCTTCATAGAAGACATGGCATTTGGCCCTAGGTGAGCGCTTGACTATGATGAAAAACTGGTCAAGTTTTCCCATGTTTAGAGAATGGAAATGTTTAGAGAAACGACACAGAGGTCTGGGAAAAGGGGACTTTTAGAGTGATGGTGAGCTGTTCAATTGGGACAACTCTCGAGTTGTATGAATAAATAAGTTAGAGCAAAGGCAGTTGATAGAAAGAGGGCTTTATTTGGTGACATAGACACTGAATGTCACAGGGGCCTTTTGAGTGGAGCTATGTGATTGGAGATTACTTCTAGAAGATGAGATGATAAATTGCAGAAAGGAGAGAAGGGAACTTCAGCTATTCATCAAAAACCTTTTACAGTATCCATGCAGGAGGTGATGAGACCTGAACTACGGTGGCAGAGTAGGCAGGGTGTGGGAAGACTCAGAATGAACCTGGAAAGTTCAAAGGACTGGACTTGAAATGAAGTGGGTGTGTGAGACATGGTAGAAGAAGGGCAAAAATGAGCCTGTAGCTCTGTGCCTGGGTGAGTGAGAGACAGGGTGAGACAGACAGGGTTAAGACACTGGTGCTGAGTTTACCTGTGACTATGATCGGTGGCACACGGAAAGAGAACGAGGGGCACAAAGAAGAAGATGGTGAGGAAGTTAGAAGCGAGGCTGTAGATCCTGGGGAAGCATCAGGGCCAGTGCCAGCATCCGTGAACAAAGACTGGCGTATGTAAGTAGACATCTCAGAGATGCTCTCAACATGCAGAAGCCGATGTGTGGGCAGTGAGGTGGAGAAGCGGGGAGAGCTGAGCGGGCGCCCCGCTGAGCTGATGGCTGCCGTGAGTGGGGGATGCAGAAGCAGGTTCTTCTATACCCATTTTAGGGTTTGCATTCGTCTTTTTGTATTCTTTCAGGCATTTTTCAAAAATTCTTGAGCATATATAACTTGTTTTCTAGCACAATTATGAATTTCCTCTTGAATTTTTTTATGTTTTTGAGTTTTGAGTGGGGTGGAAAAGGCACATGTCTCATTTTAACCCATTCTCCAGAATTACATTTAAATAGAGTCAAGCTGTACATTTTTCCTGGTTGTAAATATCTAATCTACTTTTCCTTCCTCTTAATTTTCAATATTTAATATAGGTCTAGGATATGTTTCCTTTAAAATATAAAATTACCTGTTTTTAAATCAGTTTAAATTTACAAGAATGATTTTTTAAAACATGCACTATGCACACTTTTAAGATTTTTTTTATTTTTTTGGTACCAGGAATTGAACTCAGGACCTTGTGCTTGCCAGGCAGGCACTGTGCTGCTGAGCTATATCCCTGGCCCTAAATACTTTTAAATAATGATGTTAAAAGTCAAGAATATTCAGTCCACTTACAGCTACCTTGAGAATGCAGCACTACAACTCCTTCCTACTGAAAGAAGCCATGCTGTGTCAGTGGAACCCCAATGCTGCTGCTTCTTGTGTTGCATTGTGTCTGTGGGGTTAGCAGCAATTCTGCTCCTTCTCATTTGGTACCCAAAAGGAAGAGGAGTTCCTAGCTTGAATTTGCTTGTCTCATGCCAGGGGCAAAGCAAGAGTGAATTCAGGCAGCGTTCCACAGCTGCTAAGCTTTACT